AGGCCCCGAGATGCGGCGCGTCAACTCGGCGGGCCGCGCGCCCCCCGGCGGCCTGCACGCGCGGAGGCTGTCCCTGGAGGGCGCCGCCCGGGGCGCCGGGGAGGCCAAGTATAAGGCGCCCGGCGGCGGTGACTACGGCTTCGCCCCGGCTACGGGCAGGTGAGCTGGGGGCCGGGCTAATGGAGGGGGCCCGGGGCTGGGAAGCCAGGTGAGGTCCGACCAGGCCGCTCCCCTCTGGCTGGCAGGGGGAAAGGGGGAGAGACTGGGCCACTGACCTGGCCAGGGCGCTGTTGGCGTTTCCCTTACATGTTTCCTGATCTCCCTGGTTCTCTTTCCCCATCAGCACCCTCTCTTCTCTCCCCTCTTTCCCACCCCCTAGATCCCAAGGCTGCAGACTAAGTGCGGGGGCGGGGCGGGGGGTCCTTGGGTGGAGGGATTTCCTAACAACACAGAGATGAATCCAGACCCAGACTAGGAGTGAAGGGTTCTGAGTGGAAGGGTGTTAGACACGTTCTCTGCGGCCAGCAGGGCCCAGAGGAAAGGGGAGCCCTGTACTGGTGGACTTGGGGTCCCTCCCTGCGGTTGATAAGCCCTGGGCTTGTGGGGGCAGGTACAATAGCACTGAGCCACATAGTTTCCTCTTGTGCCCTGGGGGAGATGGGAGGGGTGTTGGTTAACCAGCTGCGGATATTAACATCTCCTCTCTCTGTCTCCCAGATCTCCCCATGGCACCCCCCACTACGGAAACCCCATCAACACGTTCACCGTGAGACCGGGAACCCGCCATCCTATCTCCTATGCCTACTCAGGGGCCCATCGGAAAGCTACCTCCTGAGCGCGGGGTTGTCTCAGCTCTACCCCAAGGGGTTGGATCTGGGGCTTTTTTGGGGGGTGGTGGGAGGGACGCAGCAGGTGTTAGGCAGCCTGACTGTGACTCGAAGGAGTCTTTGTTCCGGAAAGACAGATGGACCAAGGACGGTGGGAAGCACTGGCCCAGGGAAGATCAAGAGGCAGGTAAGCTGCTTCAGGGAAAGTGGGTGGGCACCCAGGTGGCCAAGGCCACCCTGATGGGACAGGGTCTGGTTACCTGTGTTCAAGAAGCGAACCCCATCCCAATGCCAGCCCTGGCTCTTTATATGTATATGTACTTTCCCTGTACAATGTTTTATAAAGAATTCACTAATTTATCTGCTGTGTTAAGGCTTGAGGGATGGAACGTGGCCTTCCAGCTGTATATTGCTCTGGGGTGGGCCGGGAAGGGCTGGGTCTCACTTGGCTTGGGAAATAAACAGGCCAGTTTGGACTGGCCTCCAGCTCTGTGGCTATGAATTGATGACTTGGAGCTGCTGGGGTGTGAAGAGAGCTTGGGAGAAGGCTGAGCATAGGGTGCTGGGTGAACCAGTGCACCATTTTGCTGGGCCCAGTTCTCTCTCCTGACATTTAGGTTTCCATGTTTTCCAAATCCCTCAAAGGAAAGGAGCAGAGCTGAAGATAAACTGTGTCCTTAAGCAAGTCTCTATGACTCTCTGAACATCATTTTCTTCTTCTGTAAACAGGCATGATAATAATGCCTGCCTCATAAAGCTGTGGTGAAGATTAGAGACAGTCATACATTCTCTTAACGTTATATGTACCACGCTTAGGATGGATGTACAGCGATCGTAAACAGGCATGATAATAATGCCTGCCTCATAAAGCTGTGGTGAAGATTAGAGACAGTCATGCATTCTCTTAACGTTAGATGTACCACGCTTAGGATGGATGTACAGCGATAAACACACTGATGTGACTCCTTTTCATAGTAAGATTATAGTCTAGTGGAAGAGAGAGAGGATAATAAGAGTGCACATGAAAACATCATAGATTACCACAAGTGGTAGGGAGGAAAGGAACAGGGAATGTGAGAATAAGTGGGGGGAGGAGGGAGCAGTGGATTTACTTCACCAGTTGGTCAGGAAAGGCCTCAGGAAGTGTGGTGTCTATATACTGATGTAGGCAAAATATCCAGCACATGCCCGGCACTGTGGTTGCTCCACAGACAGCTTCTGTAGGTGATGACTATGTTACATTTGTGTGTGGCCCATCACAGTTTTCCATAAAGCTTTGACATGGTGTCTTCTCTGAACCCCCTGCCTGCCATGCATGTTCCACAGAGCTGTTCCTGCCCACAAATCTTTGTTTCCCGAAGAGGAAACTGAGAACCAAAGAAGTCATCTCAAGACAGGGTCAAAGAGAACTGTTTCCTTCTCTGAGTCATTTATGGGGGTTGTTGGGAAGGGGAGGATGACTCAATTATTCAGCAAGTTGGGCTTCCAGGAAAGGCCTCTGAGGCCTCTCCCATCCTTGGAGCTTCCTCCTTCTCTTGTCTCCCACCTTTCCCCCTCCGTGATGCCCTCATCCTGTAACCCAGAGTGACGACAGGGGCCCAACTTCTGGCAGGGCCTGGGGCTCCGATCTGGCTTCTCTCCCATCCCTGGTCCCTCCTAACTCTCCTTTCCCCTCACTGGACATGGGAGGGTCAGCAGGGAGTAATGGAGTTTACCCTAGGCCAGAGGTGTGGGGGGACGAGGGCCCCATGACCCGGCTCTGCCTCTGACAAGCTGTGTGACCTTAGGTCTCATCCAACTCATCTGAAATGAGTTGTGTGCTCTGGACGGGTCTTAAACTTTGTTGGGTCCCTGACCTCTTTGAGAAGCTGATGAGAGCTATGGGTCCTCACCAGAAAGATGCCCACACCAGCGGTTTTACACATTCTTTCAGGCTCTCCACATGTCCCCCAAATTTGGGCTCCCTGGACTTCACATTGAAAACTCCTGATATGACAGTGGTCAGTGTGACAGCTGGTAACCACCAACACTTACTTAACTGTGGCAGTTTGGAAAGTTCATTCATTCATTTACTCATGACAATCCTTTAAAGCGTGTTGGCTGCGTGATACTCCTAACTCTGTTTTGTTGGTGAGAAAGACGAAGGCTTGAAAAAGAGAAGCAAGTTGATTATAGCCCACCTGAGTCAAAACTCCGTCTGCCCACTTCATCACAGCTGCCCCCCTCTAGCTGTACCCATCCTCACCCATTTATCCTCTCCCAGTGGTGCCTCCACAGAATAGGGATGGGGAGAGGGGCTTAGTAGGGTAAATCTACCCCAGTGCCAAGAAAAGGCTAATGGGTGTAGGTGGAGCAGATGTTCCTGGATCAAGTTGGCCATGCCTTGATTTCTTTTTTTTTTTAAAAGATGACCGGTAAGGGGATCTTAACCCTTGAGTTGGTGTTGTCAGCACCACGCTCAGCCAGTGAGCGAACCGGCCATCCCTATGTGGGATCCGAACCCAGGGCCTTGGTGTTATCAGCACCGCACTCTCCCGAGTGAGCCACGGGCCAGCCCACCATGCCTTGGTTTCTGAAGTCTCCTCAATGCTCCCTGAGCGTGGCCTAAGACCCTGTGGCCAGAACCTCACCTCTCTTGTGAGGCCCAGCCCAGCCCAGCCCAAAGCAGCAGCTGGGGTAGCTCCTGAGAAGCCTGGGCCTGGCATCAGCAATGTGTAAATGGGCTTCTGTGCAAAGCTGTAGGATACAGGTGACTTTGGAACCTGAATGGGTGAGAGAGGCCACCTCACTGTTGAGCTATCAAGCAGGCCTGCCCCTACCTGCTCACCCCACCTGCCTACCCCCTGCGGCCTGTGGCCGCTTTCATCTCTGCAGCTCAAAGGTAATGCTGGCGTCCCATCATTAGCTGTTCGGGATGGGTGGCCAGTGATACCAGGCAGAGGACCTGGGCGTCCTCCTTCCAAAGCCCTGGGGATGGCCAGTTGCTGCAGACCTGCTTTAGGCCTGAGGGGATGCTTTTGGCCAGGAAGGTGAGAGAAGGTGCTCTTCTGGGAGAGGGGCAGAGACCAAGGCAATTTATGATGAATGCTACCTCATTGGCATGGATAATCCTGTACTCCCCTGCCCAATCCTCAGAGCTCTAAAAGCTTCATTCCCATTTGGCACAGATGAGCCATTCCTCCCTTCTTCCCTCCTTGAGAATTCTTGTTCTCTGAGCTGCTACAGAACAACATTCTCCAATCCTCTCCTGTCTTCCACACTGGCTCCCTTTCTCTGCCCAGGTGTCTTAGCACCCTGAACTCGGCTCACCAGTCTTTCTTCTCTCTAATTTCTTCTTCAGAACACTGAGTGTCATCCCTGCTCACCTGCACCAGAGGTCCACATTTCTAACTTTGGAAGTGCCTCCTGGACACATCCACGTGGATGCCTGGCCATCCACTCAAATTCAGGCTCTCCAAAAGGAATTATTCTTCCTTTACTTCCAACTCATAGAATAGTGAGACCAGAGCAGCCAGACCGAAGCCCCCCCCCGCCCCAAATACTCATTCCCACCCTACTTGGGCCCCCTCTGCTTCCTCAAGGCCGACTCCCTCTCAAGGCCCAGCTTAGATGGGAGTTCCTGCAGGAAACCTTTCCCAGCCCTGCTTTACTCAGAGAGAGACCTCTCCCTCCTGTACTCCTCTGCCCTCACTTCCCATGGCCGGCTCTTCCTGTCCTCAGGCCTCAGCTCAGACATTCCTCACCTGCTATGCACATCAGCTCCCATTAAAGGATCCTACAGCCCCTGACCCTCCCTCCTCTGGTGTTCCTTCCTCCATGTCTCTTTCCCCCAACAGTTTATAAGCTCCACAACACAAGGATGGCTTGTCTTATTCATCACAGTATCCCCAGCATCTAGTGCTGCTCTTGGCAGTAGCAGGTACTCAGTATATGTTTGTTGAATGAATATGTGTTAGTATTTACTCAAATATTGTAAAGCACTATTTAAGTTCTTTAAGGGCAAAGGACATGTCTCCTGTGGACTTATGAATGCCTAAACCTATTGTTTCTAGATGTGTGTAACCTAATCTAAGGCTGAGGTTCTCAGGTGGCATGAAGGTATAGTTTTAGGGATAGGTCTCTAAGGTTTCATCATAAATGTGTCTCAAGATGGCTTGGAGAGGCTCCTGCCCTGGCAGCTGAGACACGATGCCCTCTCATTGGACACATGAGGAGCTAGAAAGTGATGGTACCAGGTGAGGGAATTCTGGTCTTTAAAACAGGCTAGAAGCCTGGCCATTAGGCTAAGTTGGTTAGAGTGTGGTGCTGATAACACCAAGGTCAAGGGTTCAGATCCCTGTACAGGCCAGCCTACAAAAAAAAAAAAAAAGAAAGAAAGAAAGAAAGAAAGAAAGAAAGAAAAAACAGCCTAGAGCGTGGGGATCTCAGACAGCCCTCAGAACAGGACATGGCCTCTGTACCCTCCCAGTGAGCCAGCCCACTGCCTCACCTCCTCCTGGCACCCCAAGCAACTAGTACTATGTATTTACTTCCCTTTTGATCTTCTCTAGTCTTCAGTAACCTTATTTGGTGCCCTATCTCAGCTGTGCCACAGGGACCAAGGGTAAAGTTTCTGTCAAATGTGGGCCAGAGAATTGAGAAGAAACAGCACCTCTGGGGGCCATGGTGGCAGAAGCCAGCCAGGCTCGACCTGTTCACCATTAATCCCCACCTGGAGAGCCCTCCTTCAAGAAGAATGCCTGACAGTGGTAGGTTTGGTTTTCATGAAAGACCCAACTCCCCGTACAGGGTTCCCAGGGCCTACCAGGGATCGAAGGACAGAGTGATAGACCCAATAGACTTGCAGTTTTTAATCTCATCCACCAAGCATAGGATAATTATTCCCAGCACTGCTCCCAGGAGCAGGACACTTGCTTCTTATTCTTGAAAACTGGATTTCTTCAACCTTCTCTTCCACACACTGAGCCTCCTGGCACCTTTCACTGTTTCTTACCGCGCAGAAGGGTAT